TGGAAGAAGATGGTGAGAAAAGGTAAAGCGTTTTGCTGGAAGGGCAGAGCCTCAGAATGGACTGTCAAATGTATCCATTACTAGGCTTCAACCTGGCCAAACAAAAAGCCGAATATTTATTTACTGCATTTATAAAGAATGATTTTGCGGGGACAAACAAGAGATTAAACGAATTTCGACTAAATATTTTAAATTATAGTCCCTGTCTCAAGCAAAACACAACGCGTCTCTAGAACAAAGATCATTGAAGGAGGCTGTTTAGGAAAAGAATAACTTTATTGAGATCACACGAAACCCGACATATTCTGTTACTAAAATGCAGAGTTACTGAATGTTAAAGTAGGTGGTACATATAGTTTCCACTGTCTAAACAGCCTACTTCACTCCCTAAGTTATTAGACCTACTTAGGACAGACACAGAATAAACATTCACACAATACCAATGCACACGCATGATTTTATATATAAAACACAAATCGTTTAGCACAGCTGAATGCCAGTGTATTTTTAATCTGATGCAAAATATTAACAGAACGCCATTTCCTTGCAACGCAAAGCAGGATTTCAATCGTCGTCTAGTAAAATGGTTTAATCGCAATGTTTATTTCCGTAGTTATGTTCACAAATATCGAAGAAACCAGTATCATATTAATCCAAAGTTAAACCAACTTCAACACCATCCACACAACACAAAATCTACTCTAGGAATGAGCAGGACCAAGTTTGGTGGGCCCCACATAAGATTACTACGGGGGGAGAGGTTATAAGCTTTTGTAGTCTAGTTGTGAGTGGCTGAAGGGTCCTTTGTAACCATGCCAGTAGTTCGAGAGGGAAAGGAAGATGGTAGAATGAGCGTATGGTGGGACCTATACGAAATTAAATCCACAGAGTATCTGGCCATATTGAAGGACGTGCTAGTGGCGGCACGTCGTTACGAAAATGTGAACTATATGGAGTGACGGAAGAAAAAAGTATGGTACAAACAGGGTTACAGAGACGAGCAAACAACGGCTGGTTGGCTGGCTGGCTGGCTGGCTGGTTGGTTAATCACCGACTTTATTTAAAGCCGCCTTTCTAATTGCAGATTGTCGGAAGGAAGTGTTATTTAAATTATGAGAAACGGCTGTGATAAATTCTTCAGCACTCAGTACGAAGTGATGGGAAATAAGAAAATATGAGGGCCTACTCAAACCAAAAGCAATCAGATTGATAAGTTAAAATCAGTGCTCAAATATTAGGCTATATCTGAGAATTTATTCCCTTAGTATCTTTTAAATGAACCATTCATTAGGCCTAGGAGTCAATTTAAACACTATAATTTCAAATTAATCATGCTTCTGAAAATCTGGAAACAATTTTAGTAAAAATAGATCAATAACCTATAATATTTATACACACACTGATTTATTGTGCACGACGTCCTTACTATCACGCGAGTTTCTATAAGTATGATCCGTTTATTTTTATTGCCTGTTGGTATTAATGCAACTTTTCAAATCTATAAACAACTGATATATTACGTTATAATGGAAAGCTGCTTAACTTAACACACATTTACGCCTAACGGACTATAAAATAAGTAATAAACTGAACACAAAAGCATTCAATTACGGTAGATTTGAAAGTCAGTAGGTTATGATCTACCAAGTAAGCCTACATTGTGTTATTTTCAGTCCTAAGTTTGCTATTTTATTATACCTCGTTTCGCGTCATTTATGGATGTATTTCCGTCTTTCTGTCTACAAATGTGGTTAAAATTGAATTTAAAAATATATCAGTGCGTAGCTCTAATTTTGATACAGTTTGTCACAATTTTCGACCTTCGGAACCCTGTCAAGCAAAATAATGATACAATATACACAAATGGGATACACGATCTTTATCTGCTATCAGCAGCAGCAACAGTGGCTGAATGAGAAATCGGTGCTTGCAGATCGTGCAGTTTGAGGGTTTCAACTACGTAGAAAGTAATAAAGTTGGTACTGAAAGCCGGTTATGGCTCCCATTGATGTGGCATATCACTGAATGATGAATTAAATACTGGAATGATTTCGCGAACGATTTCTTTTACAGTAGGCAGAGATTCAAACCGCCGTCTACAGAAAATAGAGCTGGTACTCTGCATCTGACCTACCCTTCTCGGATTTACTAAAATAAAAATGTTTTTTCATGAATCGCTTTTCCCCGTCTTTTGAACGTTCCACAAAAAAATAAAGTGGCGTGGAATAACGCAGGCAAATATTCACGAGCAAAAGGATTGCGTGGTCAACAAAACATGCAAAAATATACACTTGTAAAATACATTTGTTGATAAATACTAGAATAAAAAAAATATACAAAAGTAGTCATACGGGAGAAGAAAAATGCAGCCAGCGAGGAAGCACAACGAAAATAAAAAAAAGAAAAATCCGGAGAGAACCAGTTTTTAGTTGATAATGTGCGTCGAGTTATTGGCTATTGTAATGTATTTCGTATAATGGCCACTGCAATAGGAACATAATGGTCTGAAAGATAGGCAAGATTCGAAGATCCAGGCGGGTGTAGACGAGAACTGGGGGTTGTTAGCCTACTGGTGCTTTAGTTCTGCCCGGGTATTATTACGGGTTCTGCAAACAGCTGATGTTGAAGACGAGGAAAGAACATCAAAGTCTACGTGTGTACGAGAAAGACAGACAACTATGAAAGACCAAGCACGAGGCAGTCACTGTTTGTGTTGACCGCATCTTAACCCCTGGTTAAATAAACGAAGAGATATACTGAATTAACTCACACAGACTGCAACATGAAATATATTCTCGTTGCAGTCTGGACAACACCAACATTCTGTTATGACAGGTAGCGACAGAATGGCATTTGCAGAAAGGCATCTTTTGCCACTAAAAACTCATTGACAATGTGACGAAATTTCGAAAGATTAATGCATATTCATAAGACAAGTGTCAACTGAAACTGGTTTGCTCTAAGTCGTAATACAAAACAGTTTCACAATTCTAACCAAGATCACCCCGGGTATATTCGGTAACTGTATATCGAAATTATTTCGGCTCTTCACACAGAAGAACACTAAGCCCGTAGTAGCTACATGATTTCGACATTCCACATTACGTGACACACATTTATTTAACCGGTTGATCATGGCATAACGATTCTTACATACATTATTTCATGACCTTGTCTGCTCAGAGTACCCCTTACTTAATTCATTCGCTTGGTGCCTACTACTAACAGCCCTACGAAATTATCAGCCCCGACTGACGTTTCGAGAAACACGAAGGAATCAATTATTTCTATTGGAAATAAAAATTTTGTTTCAAACAAAATCAGTTACTAAGGGAAAACATTTCGATGTTCGTCGTCTTGGTTGAAATACCGTGTGAGTTTGCAGGTAGACACTAGCATTCAGGGAGAACATACTGTCTCCATCTTCCGAATATAAGGTAAGTACGTAGGTACCAATCTACAAATCCACACAGAGTTTCAATCCAGAACAGCGTAGTCTACAACTTTAAAGCCGTAATTTGATACTTCAGATGTCATAAAGTAACAGCATGATTTGGTTCGATAAAGATAATGTCAACCACGAAAAAACTAAACATGAGTTAATACTGTTTTCTGGGCGTGCGGTGTTCATATCCCTGCACAGGTAATTTGCATTTTCATTGCTACCGATAATTAAGAGCTTGAAATTTGCGTTATCCAAACTTTGCACTAAAATTGTGGATACTCAGAAGCACAGGAAATTGTGCCTGTAATTTACATTATTTAACTGTATAATTTGACACACTAAAAATGGAAACCATCAAAGATCCATACGTAATAAATGAATGTATGAGAAAGTAATTTACTGTACGGAACACCTTATGGAGCCGGTCTGATACAGGACGTAAGTCAGAGGAGGGGGGAACTAAAAGAGGAGAGAGGAAGCCTGACAGAGAAGGCGTGGTGTTTGTGGGTGCCGTGTGCAGCCTCTTCAAACTACGCGCGCGAAGGGACGCGACACGATAGCTGTTGTCACCACGTGAGCATTTGAAAATACAACATTTCTCCCAGTATTTAAAAAAATAAAATAAAGTAACCAAATTCGACCATAACTACGAAAAGACGGAAACTATGAAAACACTTGTCATGTGACAAATGAGTCTGCAAGAATAACAGACAATGATCACCACATGAAGAAAATATTACCTTTGAGGGACAAAACAGGCACTTTGACAAACCTAACCTACACGTGTGCATATTGAAACTTGGTCAATATCCGACTCTAAACATCGCTTCTGTGAAGACCGGAGACATACCAGTTCATTCATCACGATATCAGTGTTTAACCTTTGATACAGACATGTGTCGATCGACTGCTGATGAACATAATTAGGTTATAAAGTGATTTAAATATTACAGCTATGAAAAGGAAGCCTCTGTAGCTACTTTGCTAACACTGCACTCAATTCTAACGATACGTAACTATAGAGCACCAAGGGAGCATTTGACCAGTGACAATTTCGTAAATAGCCAACGGAATTTTACATAAAAGACAATACAGCGAGTTTCTATAGTTTCGTTGAATTCAAGAAAGCTTTGCCATGCTGTAAGACAATTCATATTACTAAATATAACGATGAAAGAAAACACTTATCACCGAAATTAATGCTGGGAGATGCCACACCGAGTCAGTTACTTTCAGTACAGACTTGTCCGAATCTCACTACGAAGATTAATCACAAAGAGACCAAACGTTAGCTTAATTAGTGCTTGTAGACCGAAAATTCTTATGCGATCACAGAAGCACGACTCCACAATGGGAATTGTTATCAACAAACCTTGCGCCCTATTATACGACTTACATAAGTGAATATCGATTGTTGTCAGAGGAACCTGTATAATGATAATCTGCTAATAACCCTGAACCTTCAACTTCCACAGAACTCCCCTCCTTTCATTCATGAGGGCTGGCGGGGTAGAACAAGCACGTGGTTTTACATAAAGGGGTTGATCTGACTGACCTGCTATGGCCATCCATGGGTAGAATGTGTGGTTGGAGGGCTGCTGGTGTAGTTGAGTCGCCACTGTGGGTTGAGCGGCCGAACTGTTGAGTGAACATGCATTCGAAGACCCTAGAGACCATGCTGAAGTTCTGCCTCCACCTGCACCCGGACTAGAAGCCGGATCGCCACCAACAAGTCCAACGGACGAACCATACCCTCCTACACGTGTGTCAGGTGTACATGCCGCTGGTCTCACCACAGGACCCACAAGACTGTTGCCACCAGCGTTATTAGCTCCTCCTCCGCCCGCAGCGCTTTGCCAGACATCTTTTGCAGCTGCTGCAACGACTGCAGCGTAACCATTCTGGTGGCTCTGCTCGTTCGGCGTTGTCCCTGTCTTCGAACAGTCTGGTTTCGTGGTTGTACTGTAGTTTGCGACTCCTGCATTGGACTGCTGACTGACTGAATCGGCCGCTGAGGAGTACAGCTTACAGGCAGCAGCGGCCACTGAAGCATCGTATGGTGAATCCTGTGGTGGTCTCGCCTGATGAAGGGAGTGATGGTGATGGTGTTGAGATGACGCGTATGGGGACATGCCCAGCCCTAGCGGAAAGCGATACGCTGCTGCAGCAGCCGCTGTTTGGTCATGGTGATGACCTGGGGCTGCTGCAGAACTCGCGGCTTGGTGATGATGGCTCCCGTAAAACCCACTTTGCTCGAAGTATGAGTTCATACTGGACAGTTTCCTTCCTCAAGAGACTGATTTGACTCACGGCCTACTTGTCAAAAAATCTTCGTACACTGACCCCTCCCACTTACTCCTTTTTCTTAAGTGGGGACGAGACAAACACCCCAATGTCTAATTAGGAAAATTATATTCCTACACACACTTTCTTGTACTTGTCACACGCGTTTCATGAGCCAACACATACAGTGTTCGAAATAAAATCCATGTAGTTCTTCACGACAAATACGACATTTATCGTCATTTGTTCGGACTGTAAGCCAATTTCACCGTACGTCAAACAGCAAATAATTTTGTCATTTCAGCATAAACCAAAGAGAAAGAGTACACCACACATACAACTCGTGAACACAAGAACAATAAAGTAAAAACAGTCTTATCTTTAGCCACTTGTCGGTAGCAGACCATCCATGTCACCAGCACACATGTCACTCAAGTACAGGCCAACCATAACGACCAGGAACAACTCACACGTTGTACTACAAGGCGAGAATTACGGAGTATTGAGAAGAAGACGAAACAGCAAAATAAATCAGTTAAAAACTGTCAAACATCACAAAAACCATACACAAATACGGTATGAACCTTTCAGAGATTTTAACACCTCAAATTCATTTAATTCGTAATACTGATTTAATGATGGTATAGACCTTCAAAAATCACCAACGAATTTAAATCCTGGAACTGTTAAATCACGTGAAATAATATTTCCTTCGAAAATTATAAATAAAATACCAGTTATAGGTAATCAACAAATTCGCGGTAATATACGAATAATAAGCAGAAGACCATTGTAAGTTACGATTAATAATGAGCAAGCAGTTGTTGGTTAAAGATCATAGCCCAACCAACAAGTGGACAGAAGCAAAGGCTATGCTTCCAGCGAACACCGTGGTCAAACACGCACTGGTTTGGTATGTTATGTATCAAACTACACTGTCGTCCCGCCACCACTACTACAATACTACCAGCACAGCGACCTGACATGCATCCCACCCGTACGCCGGTCTGGCTTGCCGAGGTTTGTACGTCCGTCTACCGTTTGTTCCAGTATCGTCCTCTTCCACCGCCTCCTCCCATCCGGGCGCGAGAAAGAGACGGGATAATAAAAACGAGACAGTGCACACTCCACAAATACAGGCACATGCATTTATCGCACGCGAGTAAAACCACGTCCTGCTCGTTGGAGGGGGGAGGAGAGGTGGGGCGTTTACTGTGTGGTAACAAAACGAGACAAACTGTCCCTGTTAAACTGTAAATGACGCACAAAAATGCAACATATTTCTATTTAAATCCCTTAATCCATTTTGTCTCTCTGAATGTTTAAGAAAATAATATAAATGGCAATAATACGGACTCGGATAATAAAAAGTTCGTTTGTTATCTTCAGTTATTTTAATTAATAAAATCCTGGTGTAACAAAATTCGAATGACAAATATAACGAACAATGTAAATAAATTTACCAAAATAACTGAGGTAAACATTCAAGGACATACCAGAAAGGAGGTGTAAAGAGAGTAAGGAAAGAGACATATATATTAAAGAGAAGGACAAAAGACGTAGAACACGAGGAAGAGGGTCATCAGAGAGGG